CATTACCAGGCGTGGATTTTTTAAAGAATATTTTTGTCAAGGACCATTACCAGGCGTAGATTTTTTAAATAATATTTTTTCAAGGACCATTACCAGGCGTGGATTTTTTAAAGAATATTTTTTCAAGGACCATTACCAGGCGTGGATTTTTTAAAGAATATTTTTTCAAGGACCATTACTAGGCGTGGATTTTTTAAAGAATATTTTTTCAAGGACCATTAGCAGGCGTGGATTTTTTAAAGAATATTTTTTCAAGGACCATTAGCAGGCGTGGATTTTTTAAAGAATATTTTTTCAAGGACCATTAGCAGGCGTGTATTTATTAAAGAATATTTTTTCAAGGACCATTAACAGGCGTGGATTTTTTAAAGAATATTTTTTCAAGGACCATTAGCAGGCGTGGATTTTTTAAAGAATATTTTTTCAAGGACCATTAACAGGCGTGGATTTTTTAAAGAATATTTTTTCAGGGACCATTACAAGGCGTGGATTTTTTAAAGAATATTTTTTCAGGGACCATTACAAGGCGTGGATTTTTTAAAGAATATTTTTTCAGGGACCATTACAAGGCGTGGATTTTTTAAAGAATATTTTTTCAGGGACCATTACAAGGCGTGGATTTTTTAAAGAATATTTTTTCAGGGACCATTACAAGGCGTGGATTTTTTAAAGAATATTATTTCAGGGACCATTACAAGGCGTGGATTTTTTAAAGAATATTTTTTCAGGGACCATTACAAGGCGTGGATTTTTTAAAGAATATTTTTTCAGGGACCATTACAAGGCGTGGATTTTTTAAAGAATATTTTTTCAGGGACCATTACAAGGCGTGGATTTTTTAAAGAATATTTTTTCAGCGATCATTACAAGGCGTGGATTTTTTAAAGAATATTTTTTCAGGGACCATTACAAGGCGTGGATTTTTTAAAGAATATTTTTTCAGGGACCATTACAAGGCGTGGATTTTTTAAAGAATATTTTTTCAGGGACCATTACAAGGCGTGGATTTTTTAAAGAATATTTTTTCAGGGACCATTACAAGGCGTGGATTTTTTAAAGAATATTTTTTCAGGGACCATTACAAGGCGTGGATTTTTTAAAGAATATTTTTTCAGGGACCATTACAAGGCGTGGATTTTTTAAAGAATATTTTTTCAGGGACCATTACAAGGCGTGGATTTTTTAAAGAATATTTTTTCAGGGACCATTACAAGGCGTGGATTTTTTAAAGAATATTTTTTCGGGGACCATTACAAGGCGCGGATTTTTTAAAGAATATTTTTTCAAGGATCATTAACAGTGTGGATTTTTTAAAAAAATAATTTTTTAGGGACCATTAACAAGCATGGATTTTATAAAGAAGATTTTTTCAAGGACCATTACTAGGCGTGGATTTTTTAAAGAATATTTTTTCAAGGACCATTACAAGGCGTGGATTTTTTAAAGAATATTTTTTCAAGGACCATTACCAGGCGTGGATTTTTTTAAAGAATATTTTTTCAAGGACCATTAGCAGGCGTGGATTTTTTAAAGAATATTTTTTCAAGGACCATTAGCAGGCGTGGATTTTTTAAAGAATATTTTTTCAAGGACCATTACCAGGCGTGGATTTTTTAAAGAATATTTTTTCAAGGACCATTAGCAGGCGTGGATTTGTTAAAGAATATTTTTTCAAGGACCATTACTAGGCGTGGATTTTTTAAAGAATATTTTTTCAAGGACCATTACCAGGCGTGGATTTTTTAAAGAATATTTTTTCAAGGACCATTACCAGGCGTGGATTTTTTAAAGAATATTTTTTCAAGGACCATTACCAGGCGTGGATTTTTTAAAGAATATTTTTTCAAGGACCATTAGCAGGCGTGGATTTTTTAAAGAATATTTTTTCAAGGACCATTACCAGGCGTGGATTTTTTAAAGAATATTTTTTCAAGGACCATTAGCAGGCGTGGATTTTTTAAAGAATATTTTTTCAAGGACCATTAGCAGGCGTGGATTTTTTAAAGAATATTTTTTCAAGGACCATTACTAGGCGTGGATTTTTTAAAAATATTTTCTATGGGTCCATTACTAGGCGTGGATTTTTTAAAAATATTTTCTATGGGCCCATTACAAGGCGTGGATTTTTTAAAAATATTTTTTCAAGGACCATTACCAGGCGTGGATTTTTTAAAGAATATTTTTTCAAGGACCATTACCAGGCGTAGATTTTTTAAAGAATATTTTTTCAAGGACCATTACCAGGCGTGGATTTTTTAAAGAATATTTTTTCAAGGACCATTACCAGGCGTGGATTTTTTAAAGAATATTTTTTCAAGGACCATTACCAGGCGTGGATTTTTTAAAGAATATTTTTTCAAGGACCATTACCAGGCGTGGATTTTTTAAAGAATATTTTTTCAAGGACCATTACCAGGCGTGGATTTTTTAAAGAATATTTTTTCAAGGACCATTACCAGGCGTGGATTTTTTAAAGAATATTTTTTCAAGGACCATTACTAGGCGTGGATTTTTTAAAGAATATTTTTTCAAGGACCATTACCAGGCGTGGATTTTTTAAAGAATATTTTTTCAAGGACCATTAGCAGGCGTGGATTTTTTAAAGAATATTTTTTCAAGGACCATTAGCAGGCGTGGATTTGTTAAAGAATATTTTTTCAAGGACCATTAACAGGCGTGGATTTTTTAAAGAATATTTTTTCAAGGACCGTTAGCAGGCGTGGATTTTTTAAAGAATATTTTTTCAAGGACCATTAGCAGGCGTGGATTTGTTAAAGAATATTTTTTCAAGGACCATTAGCAGGCGTGGATTTGTTAAAGAATATTTTTTCAATGACCATTAACAGGCGTGGATTTCTTAAAGAATATTTTTTCAAGGACCATTAACAGGCGTGGATTTTTTAAAGAATATTTTTTCAAGGACCATTAGCAGGCGTGGATTTTTTAAAGAATATATTTTCAAGGACCATTAGCAGGCGTGGATTTTTTACAGATGATTTTTTATGTTTCTTTGCAGTACTTGGATTTTTTAAAATATTTGTATTTAGGGACCATTGCAAGGTGTAGGGTATTCAAGGTACGCTTATTTATTATAATTAATATTAATTCCTTCTAATTCCGTATATTCTTGTATAAAACTTACCAAACGCATTTCTATTACAAAACTAAGGTTATTGTTGCCTTTTATGTTATGAATAAAACTGAATTCAAAACTCGTCGTCATGTACATTGTCGTAAATATCAACATATTCTAATTCATTTTTTTGAATAATAACTTCATTAGTAAAACATAGCACAAATTAATTAAAAATATTATAAAAAATCTAAAATTTACGCCAATGCTGTCAGACGGTGGCCATAAGGCATTCGGTTAATATATTAAAAAAAAGAGTCGGAAGAACTTAATTTAAAAAACAAGGAAATTAGAAAAATGTCAGCCGGTTCGACGTTATTAGAAAATCCTGGCGGTGCTTCAATGCCAGGCGGTGCGGACAGTGGTTTAAGTCCTATGTGGACTGCCGTAATTGGCTTTGCAATAATTGCCGTGTTATTCGAAATATATATCCGAAATACTCGTGAATATAAGTTAACCAAAAATATGCCATCACCTCCAAGGCTGCCGATTGTTGGACATGGTCATATGGCTTTTAATTTATCCAATGCTGGTAAGGTTTCGCTGTGATGCAGGAAATTCAACATTGTCGCAAGGTCAAAAAGTGAAGATTTTGGAAACAAATTAAGGACAATCTGAGGAAAAATATTTTAAAAAATCAACGCTTGTGAATTTTTTTTTTCAAAAACCATTAAGGACGTGGTATTTTTTAAAAGAAGCGTGGATTTTTAAAGAAAAATTTTTGAAGGTCCATATCAATCGTGGACTTTTTAAAGAAACATTTTTGAAGCTTCATATCAATCGTGGATTTTTTAAAGAATATTTTTTAAAGGACATCGGCGTGGATTTTTTAAAGAATATTTTTTTAAATGACAAACAGAATAGTGGTTTTTTAAAGAAAACATTTTAAAGGAACAGAAGCGTGGATTTTTAAAGAAAAATTTTTGAAGGTCCATATCAATCGTGGATTTTTTTAAGGAAACAATTTTGAAGGTCCACATCAATCGTGGATTTTTTTAAGGAAACATTTTTGAAGGTCCATATCAATCGTGGTTTTTTTAAGGAAACATTTTTGAAGGTCCATATCAATCGTGGATTTTTTAAAAATATTTTTTCTATAGTCAAGCGTGAATTTTTTAAAAATATTTTTCTATAGTCAAGCGTGGATTTTTTAAAAATATTTTTTCTATAGTCCATTCTTAATCAAGCGTGGATTTTTTAAAAATATTTTTTCTATAGTCCATTCTATAGTCAAGCGTGGATTTTTTAAAAATATTTTTTCTATAGTCCATTCTTAATCAAGCGTGGATTTTTTAAAAATATTTTTTCTATAGTCCATTCTTAATCAAGGGTGGATTTTTTAAAAATATTTTTTCTATAGTCCATTCTTAATCAAGCGTGGATTTTTTAATCCATTCTTAATCAAGCGTGGATTTTTTAAAAATATTTTTTCTATAGTCCATTCTTAATCAAGCGTGGATTTTTTAAAAATATTTTTTCTATAGTCCATTATTAATCAAGCGTGGATTTTTTAAAAATATTTTTTCTATAGTCCATTCTTAATCAAGCGTGGATTTTTTAAAAATATTTTTTCCATAGTCAATTCTTAATCAAGCGTGGATTTTTTAATCCATTCTTAATCAAGCGTGGATTTTTTAAAAATATTTTTTCTATAGTCCATTCTTAATCAAGCGTGGATTTTTTAAAAATATTTTTTCTATAGTCCATTATTAATCAAGCGTGGATTTTTTAATCCATTCTTAATCAAGCGTGGATTTTTTAAAAATATTTTTTCTATAGTCTTAATCAAGCGTGGATTTTTTAAAAATATTTTTTCTATAGTCCATTATTAATCAAGCGTGGATTTTTTAAAAATATTTTTTCTATAGTCCATTCTAAATCAAGCGTGGATTTTTTAAAAATATTATTCAAAGGTACATAACAAGCGTGGATTTTTTAAAAATATTTTTCAAAGGTACATAACAAGAGTCGATTTAAAAAAAATGGCTAAGGTCCACATCTAGCGTGGATTAAAAAAATATTATTTTCAGGACCCTTTATTAATTCATGATTGTTTTTCTTTCCAGAAATAATGGCCGAAGCAATGAAATACATTGACAGTCCGGGTTCTGTGGCTCGCGTTATGTTAGGTCCTGTTATTGCCGTTGCCCTATGGAATCCCGTCGACATTGAAGCGGTGCTCAGCACCAGTAGCCACTTGGAAAAAGCACCCGAATATAAATATTTTCAACCCTGGTTTGGTAATGGTATTCTAATATCCAAAGGACATCATTGGTCGCATCATCGCAAAATGATTGCCCCCACCTTCCATCAAAGTATTTTGAAAAGTTTCATTCCGACCTTTGTCCAGCATTCAAAGAACGTGGTGGAACGTATGACTCACGAAGTGGGCAAAGAATTTGATGTTCACAACTATATGTCTCAGACAACCGTGGAAATATTACTTTCCACAGTTATGGGTGTAAAGAAGTTACCCGAACCCAATAAATGTTTGGAATACGCCAAGGCTGTTGTAGATATGTGTGATATTATTCACAAACGTCAGCTGAAAATCTATTATCGTCTGGATTCTCTGTTTCAATTTTCCAAATTAAATGACAAAAGTCATAATCTGTTGAATACAATTTTGAATATGACACGAAAAGTGGTTGACGAGCGTCAGAAAAATTTCAATGCCGATGCACGAGCTATTGTCGAGAATGTTACCGAGGCTGAGGCGCGAAAACAAAAGGCTAAAAAGACTGAAGGTTTACGTGACGATTTGGATGATATCGATGAGAATGATGTGGGTGAGTATTAGACCGATCTTTACCCTTCAGGGGTGTATATTGCAAATATTTTCTGAGAATAGTTTGCATTCCCCTAATGGATTCAAATGACCTCTGGATAAAAAATAAATATTGAAATCCCATTGCTTTATGCCATTTCAGGTGCAAAGAAACGTCTGGCCTTGTTGGATGCCATGATGGAAATGTCCAAGAATCCTGAAATCGAATGGACCGAAAAGGATATTATGGATGAAGTTAATACAATTATGTTTGAGGTGGGTTTGAAAACGATTAAATTTAAGCAACAGTACACTATTCAATTAATTTCCCCCTAGGGTCACGATACTACATCGGCTGCCTCCAGTTTTACCCTCTGTATTTTGGGCGTTTATCCGGACATACAAGAAAAAGTGATGGAAGAACAAAGAGCCATTTTCGGCGATGATCTAATGCGTGACTGCACCTTTAACGACACCATGGAAATGAAATATTTGGAGCGTGTAATAATGGAAACACTGCGTTTGTATCCACCAGTACCAATGATTGCACGTCGTGCTGAACATGACATTAAATTACCCTCAGGACCATATTCGATACCAAAAGGCACACGATTTGCCATTATACAATATGCCATACATCGTGATCCGAAATCTTTTCCAAATCCCAATAAATTTGATCCCGATAACTTCTTGCCCGAACGTATGGCCAAACGTCATTATTATAGTTATATACCATTCAGTGCTGGTGCCCGAAGCTGTGTGGGTCGGAAATTTGCAATGCTCAAGTTGAAAGTTTTACTTTCAACCATTATTCGCAATTTCATTGTGAAAAGTAATCAAAGAGAAGAAGATTTCCGTATGCAGGCAGATATTATTTTGAAAATGGAAAATGGTTTTAATATTTCACTGGAACCACGTTTAACCGGCAAAGCGATGTAAAAAGGGTGTAATATATTAATGTTGTAATGTTATTATAGGGTTTTAAGGATAAATGTAATAAGCTATATTATAATATATACATTGTCATATATACATTAAAAATGCTAAAATGTTGTAATTAAAAAAAAAACAAGTAATAAAAAATGAAATATGTCGTCGATCTCAGAAATTTGATTAGAAGTGTTAGTTTTTCTCAGATAATTGACATCTTAGTTGATATCCACATCAAAATATTTTTCGAGGAGATACAGGGCATATTTGACAATAAAATCCAAAAATACAGACACTCAGAATGAAAAAAACCTGTTTTAGGAACTTCATTTACGGTGGATATTTAAAAAACAAAGACATATATCTTCTAAAAAATAGTTTTTAATTCACCAATAATCTATAATGCCGAATTCCGTGGGAAAATGCGGATACAACTTTAAAATACCGAAAATGTAGCGGGTCCTTCCTTATATGTGGTCTATTTCATATTGTAGGCTTGAATGGTTTCTACCAATCATGGTTTTCTACCCTACTGGAACCACTCAATTTGGATCTATATCGAAATAGTTTTTCATGAATGTTTCTCATCATGGGCAATGCGATTAAAACCTTCAGTCGTATAATTTGGAAGGGTTTGTTGCGGTTGAGCAGGTATAAAAAACATTTATTAGTTTGGGTGCATCATGAAGATGAGGAAGGTCGGTCGGTTAGACAATTAAAGAGGTGTAAAGTGTGACAAGGACCATTGTCGAACAGATGTTCTCTATCGTGCCATCAATACAAATTGAAACGGCTACACCATTACTTACTACTCTGCTGATCTAAAGATTCGTTTTCCATAATTCTGCAACGATCAAGCAGATATCGACAACTTTTTGTTGAGCTGACGCAAGGGTATGAACTTTTTCTCCTCATGTAGCATATCTATTGGAGTCATGAGGGGACATTATTTTTGTAGACTCCATCTGGCTAATGTTATAGCCTACACAACTATGTTGTCAGGGTATTATAGCTTTGTGTGACCCAAGAGTTTGTAACGTCACGAAATGTTGGTTCTAGACCCACCGTTTAGTATATCGTCACATCTCGAGTAGCTAAGTCGATTTCGCCATGTGTGTCCGTTCCTCTGTCCATTATAATTTTTAAACACGATAGAGACAAAAAACAGTTGTGGAACAGTTTTAGCGTGCAGGACAGATTCTGGCAAAAAGCTCCCCTATTGTTTTTGGTAATTATAGGTTCCGGTTATGGTCAAGGTCAAGGATTAATTCCAAATTATAGGATTCCAGCTCTATCGGTTCACCTAAATCCATATTATATCAAATTTAGTATCATTTAGTACACATGCGTGCAAATTTTCGTTACTACCTACATCATGCAATACAATGAAAATCTTATTACACAATGTCGGGATTCCAGCTTTATCGGATCACTCTAAATCGAAATTGTACCAAATTTATTGCATTTTAGTACACATTAGTAGACATTTCAAAAAGTTCCTACATACCCCAATTCAACACCCCTACAGTGATCCTAACTCCAAATGTCAAGATTCCAGCTCTATCGGTTCACCTATATACAAATTTGGTACCATTTAGTATACATTAGTACAAATGTTCAAAATGTTCTACATACCTCAATTCTACTTCCCAACAATGATTCTACCGCCAAGTTTCAGAATCCCAGTGATATCAGTTCACAAAAATTAAAATTTTACCAAATATAATACAATTTCATACCTATGTGTATGAATTTCCAAAACTACACCAATACCCCAATCCTACACTCCAACAGTAACCCTATGTATAAATTTCAGCGTTCCATCGGTTCACCCAAATCCTCATTTGGTACCATTTTGTATATATTAGTTCAAATTTCCAAAACTTTCTACATATTCCAATACAGTTACCCTAACTCCAAATTTTAGAATTTCAGCTCTATTGGTTCAACCAAAATTTAAATTGTACCAAATTTAGTACACATTAGTACGAATTTCCGAAACTTCCTACAAAACCTACACACCAACAGTGATCCTAACAACAAATTTAAAGATTCCAGCACTATCGGTTCACCCAAATCCAAATTGTACCAATTATAGTACGATTTAACAATTTTCGTACACATAAGTAAACAATTTTCCAAACCATGCATATATTCCAATCTTAATCTCCGGTGGTAATGTTAATTTCAAATTTCAGGATTCCAGCTACATCCGTTTCTTTAAATTCAAATTGTACCAAATTTAGTATAGTTTCGTACTTTTTGTATATACGCTTTCAAAACCCAACTTCTCAACCTTAATTCCAAATTTCACGTTTTTAGCTCTACCCATTCACATGCTACGAAATGGTAACAAATTTAGTACATTTTAGTAATTTTCGCATACTTATAGTTCTAATGTCCAAAATAACCTTTTGGTACATCTATCCTACATTCCAAATTTCAGAGTTCTAGCTCCACCGGTTTGCCAATTACAAATGGTACCGTATTTAGTACTTTTCGTGCCGTTATAGTACGGATTTCCAAAAACCCATCTTTATCTGACACACATCACCCAAATTTCAAGATTCTAGCTTCTGCCGTTTCGTGTGGGGGTTGATGAATCGTTAAGTCAGTCAATCAATTAACTCTTTTATTAGTATATATATTTGGAAAATGTGCAAGTGCAAGAAAGAGGAGTTGATGACCTCTAATCTGTTAGGAGGGTGCAAATATCCACATAATAAAATATGTTGAATTAATGGGAGCTCCTATACCGAAAAAATCGCCAGAAAAAGATGATATTCTAAAAGTGGGGCTATTCCATAACGGGAATAAATATTGATCATTTTGGGTAGTGAAATTGGACAGCCAACGACACCCAAAATACAGAATATTAGGAGTACCGTTATATGGGGGCTACACCAAAACGAGAACCGATATATCCCATTTGCAATACCAAACATCCTAGGAGTACAAGCAATGTCTTATGAATGTTGACATTGCATTTTATTCTGATCAAAAATATATATAAATTGCGGGGTGAATATTTCGAAGTCTTGCAAATGAAATGAAAAATTTTGGGGCAATATTTTATATGCTAACTTATTTACTTGTACATAGTTCAATATTTTTAAGTAGTTTGAAATGGCAACATCGAGGGTAGCACCATGTAAATGAACAAGATCATTTGCAGCATACTTTTAGGATGAAATTATATGTGATATAAAATATTCGGTTCTCATTTCATGTTTAATAATTTGACGTTATTTATGAATATTGTTAAAAAGAATTACTGCACCTACATTGATCTTAGGTAATATTATTTTACAACTAACTCTAAGTATTTTTTTGTTATATGAAGTGTGTTCGAATATATTTTATTCGGTTGTCCATTTAAAATATGTACTAACATAAGATCCATAGCATACTTTTAGGATGCGTTTATTTTACTTATTTGTCATAAATGAAAAAAGTGAATGTTATATATTTAAAGGCAATGTGGATCGATTTTCAAAATGATCAATTTTTATTGAAGTTTGTAATTTATTTAAGGTATAAAGAAATGCCTATATTGTGTTTGATGGATCAATTTATGCTTGATTGATCGCTTATATTCAATTACTTGTCAAGTACACCCACACTTTGAACACGTGCAATTGCCAAATAACAAAACAAAAGAACAATGACAATGGAAATTTGCACGATATGAAATTTAAAATTGATGTACCATTTCTTTTTCTACTCTCTTCAATTGATTTGCTATTGTTGTGTGAAACAATACAAATTCAAATTTTGTGGTTATGCTTTCAATACAGCATTCATACAAATGAAAACGAAATTATTCATTCAAAAAATAGTATTCTCATTCATCGCAATTTATTTCCGGTGAGATTTCGTTCAATGCTCCCGTGTTGTTTTCATTTCCATACATTCAAAGAGGGTGAACAAGTGTGCCATATAGTAGAGCAGAGGTTAGGTTCAGTTCAAATGCTATCCTTGCATTGTTGTTGTTCGGGTATTGTCTTTAATTTCACTTTTCTTGGGTGAAAACAATGCTAGTTCGTGCGTCCGCCTCTTTTTGTTTCTTAAGACAACCGACACTTGTTGTTTTATTCATTTGTCTGTCCTTAAGGTATTGCTTTAATTGTTGAAAGAATTGTTGAGGTTTTATTCATTAACATCCTGTGGCCGTCAATTTATGCTAAGCGGAAGTAGATTTGCTGAATATGCCTTCAATGCTTTGTGAGTGAATTAAATTTGCATAGATTTCACTTTCACAAAACAAAAAGGGAATAAAATAAAAAATTACATTTTATAGTCATGAAGTTCAGTATGCACGTAGTGTGTCTTCGAAAAAAAAATAAAAATTTTTAACTTTAATTATAAATTACAAATTATAGATTATCAATAAATTTGACAGCTGATGTAATTTTTAAAAATGTGTTATTGCCACAATAACGTCATCGATATTTTTGTATGTCAAGTCCATTCATATTGACCGAATTCCACGTAAATAAAATATTATGCATAAATTGATGATTACGAAAATGTCGATTACACAAACAATATTCAATTAGAAAATTAAAAACAATAATTAATAAACCAGTGAGCGGAGCAGTATAGTCGGACGGGGCCGACCATACGATACCCCAAACAACTAACACAGAACACTATCTTTCTGAGGATTTTTATTCCGAGCCTGAGTAATATATCGTGATATTTGCCCCCTCTTGTCCGATTAGAGGTCAACAACACCTCTTCCTTACTTTTTTCGAATATTCAGTACAGTCCTTCTAATTACTTGTCCAGATTACCTTCACGGTGGGTTGTGCTGTGATTTTTGGATTATACTCGACTCGAAAACACACAAAAAATTAAGTTTTCGGTCCATTTCATCCCAAAATTTTAATCTGATCATCACCGAAAATTGTAGGCGTTGTTCTTGACCATAACTGGAACTTCATGAAAAATTTCAAAGCCATCAGCGCGATATTTCCCCCTCTAATGTGGTAATGGGTTACTAAATAATATTTGAATACGTAAGCACCTGTAAATATTTGACTGCAACTCCCACATCTGAGTAGATACATCACTATATTTGGTATCAATTTAAAGGCCAACCACTCCTCTTGAATATGCTATCAACTCCTCGGGTCTACATCCTCCAGGAGTAAATATATATGCCATAGAATACAAATTTTGTCATTTTTCACACAAAAGTCAGGGTCCATTTGACCCGCTAAATATTGACCGATCTTTATCAAAACATGCATGCTTATTCTCTGGCCCGATCCCCTTCTCCATGTAAAAATTCGCAATGTTTGGGCCATAATTGCGGCCTCTGGAGCGACCAGAAAAACCGACAAAAATAATGTTTTTGGTCCATTTCATCCCCTAAATATTAACCGATCTTTCCCAAAAACAATAGGGGTCTTCATTGGCCAGAACCCATCCTACATGCAAAATTTCGTGAAGATTGGTCCATAACTGTGGCCTGTATCGTGTTTACAAATTATAATGGACAGACGGACGGACGGACGGACACACATGTCTAGATCGATTCAGCTAGTCGAGATATGACGATCGGTATACTTAAAGGTATGTCTAGGACCAATATTTCGCGGCGTTACAAACATTTGGGGCTGCACAAAGCTATAATACCCTGACAACATAGTTGTGTAGGGTATAATTAAAAAAAACTACAACTAAAAAATATTGCGTATTGTGAAATCGAATAGACGGCCACGTCTTCGTCGTCAATACAAGAAAATATGAATTCAATTATTTTTTTTTCCAGTTTTTGCATATTCATAAAAATATGTTCACATAACGCGATGGTTCGATCCGCACCTTATAATAACTAGAACTTAGACTGACATTGACAGTTCCACTTGAACAGTGCTACAAAATAGATTTATGTCGAGAAACCGAGAGTGTTATATCGGGATCAGAAATTTCATATAACAACTGTGAGATTATCAGGAGGAGGATACAAAAAAAGTGAAAGTGAACCACAAACATGGAAATCCTGCAACAGGAGAGTGCCCAGCTCCATATGGGAGCTGCTGCTACCAGTTCGGCTGGTACATGGATAAGTTTAGTTTTTGGTCTAACAGTCATTGCTGTGCTCTACGAATATTATCGCCGCAATACCCGTGAATACAAATTGATGGATTCGATACCAACACCAAAACAATGGCCCCTCATCGGTAATGGTCACATGGCTTTCGGCCAGAACAATCATCAGATTTTAAAACTAATGCAAGAAGTGTTCCGTGACAACGGTGAAACTATTCGCATTTTACTGGGTCACTTGAATGTGGTGTTCCTTACTAATCCAGCCGATTTGGAAATATTCCTAAGTGGCCATAAACATTTAGAGAAAGCTGTGGAATATCGTTATTTCCAACCTTGGTTTGGTGATGGTCTACTGATCTCAAAGGGCCACCATTGGCGTCATCATCGTAAAATGATTGCGCCCACCTTCCATCAAAGTATTCTGAAGAGTTTCGTACCCACCTTCGTAAAGCACTCCAAAGCTGTGGTAGGACGGCTGAGCTCTAAGGTGGGCGAGGAGTTCGATTGCCACAAATACATGTCGGAGACAACGGTCGATATTTTACTTACCACCGCCATGGGTTGTAAGCAACAACCAGAAACGGAAAAGAGTGCCGAATATGCCCAGGCTGTTATGGATATGTGTGACATCATCCATAATCGTCAGCTGAAATTGTTCTATCGTTTGGATTCCACCTATAGCTTTACAAAACTTCGCGAACGTGATAACAAACTGATGAATGTTATTTTGAGTATGACCCGCAAAGTGGTAGAGGATCGTAAGAAAAATTTCAATGCCGAGGAGCGTGGTATTGTTGATCGTGCTGATGCTAAGTCGAATAAGCCTGCTGCCAAGAAAGATGGCCTTCGCGATGATTTGGACGATATTGATGAAAATGATGTTGGGGAAAAGAGACGCTTAGCTTTGCTCGATGCCATGATGGAAATGGAAAAGAATCCCGATATTAAATGGACCGATAAAGATGTTATGGATGAAGTTAACACTATTATGTTTGAGGTAATGTATGTGTGATTGGGTTAACGGGGAAAGAAAGAGGAAGGAAACCTAGCCGTTAGCACAGAAAACATATTCATGGTTTTCTACGATTTTAAGTCATGGAACATCTTCAATATAAACAAGTTTTTTCCCATATTTCAAGGTATTGACAAGAATACATTGAAATATCCGTCGAGAACCAAAAAATTACATTTACAATTACATGTTTAAGTCATCCGTAGTTTATTTACTGTATGGATTTAGAGCCGTATTACACTAAATCCCCCCATTTGTGGGGTACAACGTCCTGTCGTCTACTTCTTCAGTTGTGGGAAACCTGCAGAACCAAACCATTTTTAGGTACAATTTCCATATAATCGCTTTTCAGACAAAACTATACCACTTTGCATATTTTGTATGCTTCCTTGACATTTTTCCAGCCGAAGTTGCTATATTGTTCTTTAAAGCTATTTCAGAAGGTCTTAGTAGAATTTTCTCAGCAAATTAGTCATGTGTGTACCAGGAATATCACGTACTAATTTCAGTCTTATCTTGTGATATACTCTTGAATACATATATAATATTTTCTATTTATAGAAAAGCCATTTATCGTTGCCTAGAAAGAAATCTTGAAGGCTGTCTATATATGAAAGACCTTTAAAAATTATCTTGAAATTTCTTTATTCTGATACTCCTCTTGGTATAATAATTGGCTTACCCTATGTGATAGGGCTCCTTGAATTTTGTGCAGTGGTTAGGACCTTTGCTTATTTGTTGTTGCCATTTTTCTCTGGGTGGAAAAATTCGATCTGTGTCTTTCAAAGGAACTATTCCGCAAAAGGTCCGGTTCTCTAGTTCTTCAGGTTCCCGTTGCTTCAATCGCTAATTTTTGCCTTCATTCATCTTGTTTTTTTACTCTATCGTTCATTTAGATCTTCTAGTCCATTAACCGCTTCGAGATAGATTACTTGAATGTAAGGGATCTTCAAATGTGAATTTTTTTCTGCAAATATTCGAAAACATTTTGAAAGAAATCCCTCCTTTGCTGGGATTCGAATAGTTTGCACTACGCCACTTACTTTCCGCTAGATATATGTCAGCTTTTAAAGGACCTCCTTTCTTCAATTCAGACGAAAGTTCTCATTATTTATGGGACCTCTAGATAACTGGCAGAAATCATAAATTATTCTCTTTATGGGAGGCAAGGTAACAAAGAACTATGGAAGGTCTATGTTTGGAAATTTTCTAGAAATAATATTCTCTGCAGAGCGTATTTAAACGTTTTCGGTAGGAAAATGTTCTTTCATGCATAGAATACCTAAAAAATCATCAATTATAGAAGATATTCTATTTCAAATGACGTTTTTTATATATGAAAGACTAGTAGAAGTCTTATCATATAAGAAATTCCAATATTTATATTAGATCTATAAAATATTTTTAAGGTTATTCATAGGAAATATAAAAGGGTTTCATCCTATGGATATCTAAAATTTCTTTTTTTACAGAAGCTTGCTTTTATAATTCGGGGCTACAAGGGGCCTTCAACGTCTTGAAGACCTACAAAACGTTTTCTTCTTTATCAGACCCCTATAAACTGTTCTCTACAATTTATTCCAAACATAGAAGGTTAATTTAAAGTCTACAATATCTGGAAAATATAAAAATAGTTTTTTTATTTCTAGAAAATATCCTTCCTCTAGAAGGCATCAGAAAGGGTTTCTATATATGAAATACCTATAGAAAAAAACATCATTAAGGGTTTCTGTATATGAAAGACGTATAGAAATTTATCCTATCTGTATTTCTTTCTCATGTTACTTTTCTTGGGAGCAAAGACGATTCGTCTGCAGTAGCCTTGGTGATGGACCTGCCATCTGTCGTTGCCTAGAAAAAACGTATCCTTGAATTTTGTGTAGTGGTTGAGGTCCTTGCTTATTTGATGTTACCTTTTTCCACTGGGTTACGCTATCCACAGTCATTTCTTTGTTCGTCATATGCTCATGTGTTGATGTTGATGCCGAGATTGGTTATTTGAATGCCATAGAGCTTTCCCATTTTTTACAAATATTCAAAAACCTCTTTGCAAAAATTTCTTTTAAGCCTCATTTTTAAGTATTTAATTTATGAGAGACCTCAATAATGTTGAGATAAGGAGGAACTATGGACTAAGTCTACGTTTGAAACCGTTTATTTTGATATTCTTTCATTTATTTCAAATGACATTTTGAAGATTTTTATATTTTGAAGCCCTGTAGAAGGTGTAAGAAGTCCAATATCTGAAAGAGATCATAGAAGATTTAAAGATTTTCGACCTCAATTAATGTTTTATAGAATAATATTTTTTAGTTCGGATAGGTGCTTCCAGAACGTTTTCTATTTTTATATGACCTGTATAAAATATATAGATTTCAGATGACCTTCTTGAAATGATAACCCTCTTGAAAGATAATTTATTTATAAAAATATTCTAGATATATTCCATGCCTCTCTAGAAGGCTATATATATTTTGAAGATATCGAGAAACAATGAACCATTGGAAAAATAGAAGCCGTCCATTTAAAGAAAAGTTTTAATTTTTTTGGTAAATCTCTAGAAAAACCTCTTAAATTGATTCAAGTTTTCTATATTTAAAATATTTATGTCTATAAAAGTCCCACTAGAAGGTCATAAGTGGTCTATATCTGTAGAAGATCCCCAAAAGGCTTGTAGAAGATACATGTCTGTGAAAATTCCTCTAGAAGGCCATATGGAGTATATATCTCAAGAAAGTCCCCAAAAAGCCTTATATATCTGGGGGCTCAATGAAAATGTGGTATTATATTAAAAAACTTAAAAGAATTTATTACTCTATATGACCTCTAGAATGTTTGTAGAAAATCTCTAAAACTTATTCAATATTCAAAAGGCATCTAGAAGTTCCATAAGATTTCTTAAAGGCTGAAACACATTTTGAATTCCTCTAGAAAATTTTTATCAAAAGGTTTCAATCTCGAAAATGTTTAAATATTTAAAACAGAGTCCTGTTTGTGAATGCCCACTTAGAATTAAATTTGAATATCTAGGTGGACTTCATGGAGTTTTTTTTTTATTTTAAAGGTCGTGCCATCTTCCAAAATGTTTACAACTGAATTTTTTTTATTTCTCCCCTATACAGGGTCACGACACCACAGCGTCTGGTTCCAGTTTTGCTCTCTGTCTTTTGGGTATCTATCAGGATGTACAACAACGTGTCTTCGAAGAACAACAAGCCATCTTTGGGGATGATCTCAATCGGGATTGTACATTTGCCGACACTCTGCAAATGTCTTATTTGGAAAGAGTTATCTGCGAAACATTGCGTTTATATCCACCAGTACCATTGATTGCACGTACAGTGGAAGAGGATGTAAATCTAAAATCTGGTCCCTACACTGTGGCCAAGGGTTCAACGGTGGTACTTTTACAATACTTTGTACATCGTCGCCCTGACATCTACCCTGATCCGGAGAAATTTAATCCCGACAACTTTTTACCCGAACGTGCAGCTAATCGTCATTATTATTCGTTCATACCATTCAGTGCGGGACCACGCAGTTGTGTTGGACGTAAATTTGCCATGTTACAGTTGAAAGTTTTACTTTCGACCATTATACGTAATTATCGCGTTTCATCTAATCGTACACAGGAAGATTTCCAACTGCAAGGTGATATTATTTTGAAAATGTCAAATGGTTTTAATATATCTCTGGAAAAGAGACCAACATCTAAGGTGTAGAGATACATTTTGTTTTGTGATAGTGGTAGATTTTGATATAATAATTATTTTATTTTTTGTCGGTTCATTTTCTTAATTTCGAGCATAGCTTATTAATATTAACGAACGTGTACTCTTATATATATTAACGATATCCATTTGCTAACATAACATACTTACATACATACTTTCTACTAACATTTCCATGCTGAACAATAACAAATATATTTCCACGTGAATACAAAAATGTAAAAAAAACAAACGAATAATTAAATAAATAACTGGTCATGCACAGTACAAAACTGTAAAAATTGAGGTGTGTATTTATTATTGTTGTTGTACTAAAATGCAAGTATATATTAGTAAGACTTCCTATATAACTTGTCAAGGGTTAACAGAAGCGTGGATTTTTATATATTTTTTTTAAAAGAAGCTGGATTTTTTTAAAGGTGGACTTTTTTAAAGAATAAGTTTAAGGGTCTATCAGAAGCGTGCATTTTTTAAAGGACATTCTTAAGGTCCATAATAAGTGTGGAATTTTTAATAATATTATTTATTAGTATTTTTTCAGGGATCTTTGATATCCGATATTTTTTAAAGATTATTGTGAAATGTTTTTAATTTCTTTAAATTTCCGTAGTGCACGCGGTTTTTTTAAATTGAAATTTTATAAATCCCGAGCTCTAATTTTCCACATGACTGTAAAATAAACATCACATAAAAATAAACTGATCTAAATACAACAACAGCAACAACAACACTAAACTCCAAAAACCAATCAATAAGCTAAGCTTCTGATATATTAACCTCAATTGCTACAGAAATTCTTCCACAACGCATCGTAATCGATTTATTGAATCCAACGATTGCTATCTCTCCTTGGGGCTAAGTAGACATAATTTTCACACAATGGCATTATCATTTGTTAAACGTATTTAGTATTTATTTCCATAAGCTTATTAAGTCACCACAAAAACTGGCATTCTGGGAGTCACTTCTTCAGACATTCATTCATTGATACCAGTCATTGCCTAAAACCTTAACGGATGCTACTGTTTACTACACTTTATTGGTCAATGTCTACGACTGGTGTCACAACAATAAGGTGTCAATTTAGTGAAAGGTGCATTCGTTGCCTGGCAATTCGTGCCAGAAAAGCTTTTGCGGCATTTTAATGTGGTAATATTGATCATCGTCTACTTACTTAAATGTTGTTGTTGTCGTTTGTCTTGTAGGACTACCGCCAACACTCAGAAATTGTTTATGGCCATCTCCTTTAACATTTATTACAAGGTTATAGGTTGGAGGATTTGTGAGGTTTATATTTGTTTTAATATGGTTTTCAATTTATTTTTGGGCATGCGTGGTATTTATGGAAGCCAATATGGAAATGGTAAATATTTTGACGCTCGTTATTAGTTAAATTGTTGATGTTTTTGCCAACAACTTCGAACCGGAAGTATTATATCGTCTTATTGATATTAATTGAAGCAAAAGCAGTGCTCCAAAAATCCTCGATTGAATTGGTTATTGAAACAAAAATTAAATTCACCATTAACCAGTAAGGGAAGCAGTAAAGTCGGACGGGGCCGACTATATGATACCCTTCACCACTTCACCACCCTTCACCACCAAATTTCGTGCAACTCGAAAAATATATAGGGACTTTGGAGAGCAATTTACCTTAAATCGGACGAAAATATATATATTAGAGCTATATCTAAATCTGAACCGATTTTCACGAAACTTAGCACACTTCATTCTGGACCTAATTCAGTACTCTATACCAAATTTCCTGCAAATCGAAAGATATATAGGGACTTTGGTGCACCATTTACCTTAAATCGGACGAAAATATATATGGGAGCTATATCTAAATCTGAACCGATTTTTTCCAATTTCAATAGGGTTCGTCCTTAGGCCAAATAAGAGACCTATGCCACAATTCATCCAATTCGGATCATAAATACGACCAGTACTTTGTTCACAATTTAACATGGACAGACAGACGGACGGACATGCATAAATCGACTTAAAAAGTGATTCTATGCATATTCTCAAAAGAAACCAAGTGTCTATCTCGTTTCTTTTTGCTTGTTACAAACATATGCATAAAAACATAATACCCTGTACCACAGTGTGGTGAAGGGTATAAAAATCCTTAATTTAGTTGGTTATTAGAAAAATATAATTTTGAAATCCACCTTTAGAAAATTGTACTGCAAAAAATTCACGTTGTATTGGTTTTATGAAAAAATATTCTTTAAAAATCCACGCCTTGTAATGGTCGTTGCAAAAATATTCTTTAAAAATCCACGCCTTGTAATGGTCGTTGCAAAAATATTCTTTAAAAAATCCACATCTTGTAATGGTCGTTGCAAAAATATTCTTTAAAAAATCCACGCCTTGTAATGGTCGTTGAAAAAATATTCTTTAATAAAAACGACGCCTGGTAATGGTCCTTGAAAAAATATTCTTTAAAAAATCCACGCTTGTTAATGGACCTTGAAAAAATATTCTTTAAAAAATAAACGTCTGTTAATGGTCCTTGAAAAATATTCTTTAAAAAATAAACGTCTGTTAATGGTCCTTGAAAAATATTCTTTAAAAAATAAACGTCTGTTAATGGTCCTTGAAAAATATTCTTTAAAAAATCCACGCCTTGTAATGGTCTTTGAAAAAATATTCTTTAAAAAATCCACGCCTTGTAATGGTCCTTGAAAAAATATTCTTTAAAAAATCCACGCCTTGTAATGGTCCTTGAAAAAAATATTCTTTAAAAAATCCACGCCTGTGTTGTTAATGGTCCTTGAAAAATATTCTTAAAAATCCACGCCTTGTAATGGTCCTTGCAAAAATATTCTTTAAAATATCCACGCCTTGTAATGGTCCTTGAAAAATATTCTTTAATAAATCCACGCCTTGTGATGATGATCCTTGAAAAAATGTATAATGTAATGGTCCTTGAAAAATATTCTTTAATAAATCCACGCCTTGTAATGGTCTTTGAAAAATATTCTTTAAAAAATCCACGCCTTGTAATGGTCCTTGAAAAAATATTCTTTAAAAAATCCACGCCTGGTAATGGTCCTTGAAAAAATATTCTTTAAAAAATCCACGCCTGGTAATGGTCCTTGAAAAATATTCTTTAAAAAATCCACGCCTGTGTTGGTAATGGTCCTTGAAAAATATTCTTTAAAAAATCCACGCCTGGTAATGGTCCTTGAAAAAATATTCTTTAAAAAATCCACGCCTTGGTAATGGTCCTTGAAAAATATTCTTTAAAAAATCCACGCTGTGTTGGTAATGGTCCTTGAAAAAATATTCTTTAAAAAATCCATGGTCCTTGCTTTAAAAAATCCACGCCTGTGTTGGTAATGGTCCTTGAAAAATATTCTTTAAAAAATCCACGCCTGTGTTGGTAATGGTCCTTGAAAAATATTCTTTAAAAAATCCACGCCTGTGTTGGTAATGGTCCTTGAAAAAATATTCTTTAAAAAATCCACGCCTTGGTAATGGTCCTTGAAAAAATATTCTTTAAAAAATCCACGTGTTGGTAATGGTCCTTGAAAAATATTCTTTAAAAAATCCACGCCTGTGTTGGTAATGGTCCTTGAAAAATATTCTTTAAAAAATCCACGCCTGTGTTGGTAATGGTCCTTGAAAAATATTCTTTAAAAAATCCACGCCTGTGTTGGTAATGGTCCTTGAAAAATATTCTTTAAAAAATCCACGCCTGTGTTGGTAATGGTCCTTGAAAAATATTCTTTAAAAAATCCACGCCTGTGTTGGTAATGGTCCTTGAAAAATATTCTTTAAAAAATCCACGCCTGTGTTGGTAATGGTCCTTTAAAAAATCCACGCCTGTGTTGGTAATGGTCCTTGAAAAATATTCTTTAATGGTCCTTGAAAAATATTCTTTAAAAAATCCACGCCTGTGTTGGTAACGGTCCTTGAAAAATATTCTTTAAAAAATCCACGCCTGTGTTGGTAATGGTCCTTGAAAAATATTCTTTAAAAAATCCACGCCTGTGTTGGTAATGGTCCTTGAAAAATATTCTTTAAAAAATCCACGCCTGTGTTGGTAATGGTCCTTGAAAAATATTCTTTAAAAAATCCACGCCTGTGTTGGTAATGGTCCTTGAAAAATATTCTTTAAAAAATCCACGCCTGTGTTGGTAATGGTCCTTGAAAAATATTCTTTAAAAAATCCACGCCTGTGTTGGTAATGGTCCTTGAAAAATATTCTTTAAAAAATCCACGCCTGTGTTGGTAATGGTCCTTGAAAAATATTCTTTAAAAAATCCACGCCTGTGTTGGTAATGGTCCTTGAAAAATATTCTTTAAAAAATCCACGCCTGTGTTGGTAATGGTCCTTGAAAAATATTCTTTAAAAAATCCACGCCTGTGTTGGTAATGGTCCTTGAAAAATATTCTTTAAAAAATCCACGCCTGTGTTGGTAATGGTCCTTGAAACAGATTCTTTATAATATTCTTTAAAAAATCCATGTTTGTCAATCTGTTGGTCCTTGAAAAATATTATTTAAAAAATCCACGTCCTTGAAAAATATTCTTTAAAAAATCCACGCCTGTGTTGGTAATGGTCCTTGAAAAATATTCTTTAAAAAATCCACGCCTGTGTTGGTAATGGTCCTTGAAAAATATTCTTTAAAAAATCCACGCCTGTGTTGGTAATGGTCCTTGAAAAATATTCTTTAAAAAATCCACGTTGGTAATGGTCCTTGAAAAATATTCTTTAAAAAATCCACGCCTGGTAATGGTCGTTGAAAAAATATTCTTTAAAAAATCCACGCCTGGTAATGGTCGTTGAAAAAATATTCTTTAAAAATCCACGCCTGGTAATGGTCGTTAAAAAAATATTCTTTAAAAATCCTCGAGTGGTAATGGTTGGGGAAAAATATTCTTTAAAAAATCCACGCCTGGTAATGGTTGGGGAAAAATATTCTTTAAAAAATCCACGCCTGGTAATGGTCCTTGAAAAAATATTCTTTAAAAAATCC